GGGAAAAAATTGCAGGGGGGGAATATAAAAATATCAACTAACCATGCAGACCCTCATGCAGACCCCCTAGGGGTCGCGGATCCCCTGTTGAAGACCTCCGCTCAAGAAGATTTTACTAACACAAACTGAGGGACCAGGCTGAGGTAGGAATTTAAGGTTACTGAAGTGCGGATTTTTTTACTGAAAGCCGGCGGGCAAACTTGTTGCCATCATCCTCACCGACCACCTGGTCATAAAACTGTTTTAAGTGATCATACTGCTGCTTTGTCGCCTCCATGCTGCTGTGGCTTCCACACGGCATTTTGTTTTGATGACGCACGCGGCTGTAGGCTACGACACTGGTAGCTGGTGTTGCCAGATTGGGTGTTTTTCCCGCTACGTATTAAGGCCTGTTTACGGTTTGATTTAGCCGGGGTTTCGCCTGGAGGACTCTATAGAAATCTGGCAACCTATTGAACGGAGCTGAACTGAGAGAGCATGCCGTTCACAGACACCAGAATGAACGAGTTCACAATAACGTTCATCAGGCAGTAATGCAGTACGTTCAGTTCACGTTCGCCCAAAATATGAACGAGTTCATGAACTTTCGTTCAATGAACGCGTTCAGGCACAACACTGCCCGCCAGCTCCCAGATCAGCTTCTCTGATTGGTTGATGTGGTGCGTCGAGCAGCAAAAGTTAAATTTTTCCATCTCGAGCAGCAGCACATTTGCGGCGTGTCACGCGCATCAGATGCTTGAACGCTCCCGACGCGCTGCTTCAGCTGCTCAGACGCACTGCGCCTGCTGCTCAAAACGCGCTGCGGGACATTTTGCTGCGCCTTGACGCGCGTCAAGCATCGACTTTGCATGTAAACTCGCTGCTTCTGCTGCGCCTGCTGCGTCCGGTGTGAACGTAGCATTACCCTGCCTCTGAGTGGTGTTCTGCATGTGGGCAATTTTTTATGATACCATCATGACAATTTTTTATAACATTTTATATTACTATTTTTGTTGTCATCTCCGTAACCATTCTGGGTTTCTCTTTCATTAAAGGAGGGGTATCAATAGTTTTGTCTAGATGTGTATTTTAACTGATTTCATAACACAAGTGAATTCATTTTAAACAACATACAAGGCCCTTTAAATCTGGGAGATTGCATCTGCTTTGTAGATTTAGAAGATTAGAGTTAATGCGTTTGGGCGGAGCCTTCACTCAGAGAACACTGCTTCTTAAAATCACTGTGTTTGAAGATGTTTAAGCAATTTTAATGAGAATCAAACACAGATACTTGTTTTTGGTTTTTATGCAATTTTTTGCAGTAGTGAAGCTAAGTTGAATCATCATTAAAGAGGAAACACTCAGTAGATAGAAGTAGAAATATTTACTCTGCTAGTTGGAGGTGCTGGATGTGCTTATTTAAATTGCTTAAAAAAAGAGGGAATTGCTATTCTGCTGAGCTGCTTGTTTATCTTTTATGTACACAACCAGATTTAGTGGATTTTCTGACCACTCACCAAAATTTCACTATCATGAAGCCAACAAGTGTGCAGCTTTTAAACTACTGCTGTGTTCTGAAGTCCATAGTGGCCCAGATCCATATCCCCACTCTCAGTGGTCTATATACAGATTTAGCAGAGCAAAACATTAATACGGAGAAATTATGGTTTTAAAGCTTATGTAATTATCGGTTTTATAATGTTTTTAATATTCATTACCAAACAGCGTGTTTAAGTATCATGAAAAGCACTTTATAAATAAATGGTAGTATTATAATAAATAATGCAACTAAAGATACAGGCAGGGACTGAGATGGTAAGTTTGTGGGTTTTTAATATTTGGTTAAAACACCAGGGAAAAAAAAAACACTAAATTGTTTAAGAAATGATTTTTTTTTTTTTTTTTTTTGCATCAACAACATGCAATCCTTTCAGATGTCATTCTTTTCTGTTTATTCTATATGCCAGGCAAGAAAACAATAAACAAAACTTCAGTAAAGGGCTAGTTTCAGCCTGTTAACCCCACCATCCTTTTCTAACCATACCGTTGCAAATATGCTACAAAACCAACCAGCAAAGATTTCCCAGGGAAATTTATCACATCTAATGATTTCTCTGCAGGAACAGGTGACCTGTGCTCGTAAAACATGGGTGCTGATGTTTTTATTCATGTCAATCCCTCGACTCCATTACGCAGCTGATGCCTTCCAGCTGCGCCCATGGCTTGCACATGCAAACAGTACAGACCCCTTTCTGCAGAGGTAGGCACAGACTAATACACTATCTGCATATCCATTTAAGAACAGGGGAGGGACAAACGTAATACTCACAAGGTTGTTTCTTCACTTTGAATCTCCTGAATATCATAATTTAATGATTATACTGACATGCAGCATTAAGAAAATATGTCTATCAACTTTTTGCCCAAAATATTTATTTAACTTTACTTTTGTTGCCTAAATATCCTATAATAAATCTTTGTAGCACATTTCGATGTGCAGCAAGCCCACAGAATCACAAATCCTTCACCGTACTAGGGCTGAAGCACTTAATCAGATAAATCGTCATTAATCGATTATTGAAATAAACCAATTTAGTAATCAATTAATCGTTAACTGGTGTATAGATTCTAAAACATGCCCTTAGCTGACAAAGCAACCCACTTAGAACAGTAATTATTAGAAAATAGTAAAAAACAAAACACAAATTTGCATTTAACTTAAAAAAAAAACACTAGTCAGTCAAAATGCTTTACCTAAAACTCCTCAAGTGGAAAAATTTCACTGGCACCTGGTTTTATGAAGTAAAATATCTTCTTTGAGGAATCTTTTTCTATCTGATTATTAATTATTTAATAGAAAAAAATAATTGACTAACGGATTAATCGATTAGCAAAATGATAGTTGCAGAAGTGTTTGTTTCAGCCCTAATCTGAACATTTACATTTCTGATGATGGGACAGAAAAGGTCACATCCTCATACAAAGCAAGCAGTTGACAGTTGAATACCATCTTAATTATCAGAAAACTGTGTGACCCAGACGTCACACTTTGTGTCCTGTCCCCAACAGCTAGATTTGGAGCCTGTTTTTTTTTTAACCTTTACCATCCTGTCCTCTGTATTTGGTGCCAAGGTAAACATGGGTTCTGACTCAGCCTTGTACAGAATGGACCTGTTTTGTAAAGTAACCACTTTCTGACCAATAATGCACGCCTGCATTATAAGGAGTTGAAGATATTCTTCTGCCTTTCCTTTCCTGTTTTGAAGAGTACCACTTTATATTCACAGTAACAAAATTTACCAAGGGAGCCAAAGTGGGGCCAGTGTTTTTATGGGGCAGCAAAATAAAAGAGTGAAACAAAAAGCCAGGCAGAAGTTAATTGTTTGGTATATATACAGAGAAATATACAATAAGACTGAAGCTAAAAGTGCAACAACCTAATCTTTAAATCATGAACAAAAAAAAATAATTCTACAGGGGCCCCTGTTGGCCCCCATCTAGAACCGCACATGTTTACTTATAACCACAAGAAGACAAGTTTAAATCCCTGTGATCAAATGAAGTTTAACTTTTAAACTTTTTAATCTTTTTTAGCTTTACATGCCTCTTTCCCATTATCCTTTGTTTACTTTTTTCTACGTTTTGTAAAAATGGACAAATATAAAAAATATTGCCTTCAAAAGGCTCTGAAGTTAATCACTAGAGGTGACAATGAATATGAGGAATGTGAAAGTAGTTTAGATGAATATCCAGGGGACCCTACTGACATCCCTGATAAAGACCTAGAGTGAGAAGAATCTAGTGGGTCCAATTGATTCTGATGAATGTATTTCCAGTGATTTAGAAACAGAGCCCCACTGAGTATGAAGATGCAGCCGTCAAAGGACAAATTATTTAATAGAGAAGGAAACCTTTCGACACCCCTGAGAGTGAATTGATGGATGGATGGATGGATGGATGGATGGATGGATGGATGGATGGATGGATGGATGGATGGATGGACGGACGGACGAACGGATGGATGGATAGATGGATGGATGGATTGACGGACGGATGGATGGATGGATGGATGGATGGATTGACGGACGGATGGATGGATGGATGGATGGATAAAGGGATGGATAGATGGATGGATGGATAGATGGATAGATGGATGGATGGACGGACGGATGGATGGATGGATAGATGGATGGATGGATGGATGGATAAAGGGATGGATAGATGGATGGATGGATGGATGAACGGATGGATGGATGGATTAACGGACGGATTGATGGATGGATGGATGGACGGATGGATGAAGGGATGGATAGATGGATGGATGGACGGACGGATGGATGGGTGGATGAAGGGATGGATGGACGGACGGACAGATGGATGGATGGACGGACGGATGGACTGACGGTCGGATGGATGGATGGATGCTAAAAAGTGAAATGTAAACATTGGCTGCATCTGTACTAAAGCAAAAAATGGATCTAGAAAAACAGTAGTGTTGTTTTATTTTATTTTTTGTTAATCTGTGATCAGCAGAAACGCATCTGACAACAACACCTGCTCCCCTGCGGTTCTTCTGCGGTTAAGGTGTCCAGCTTTGACCAACTCGGTGTGACAGGATTCAACCATGCGTGCAGGGTTCATGCGTGGACTGTAGGAGCCACAGACAGCTCCGTGTCATGATACCCCCCACAGACACACACACTTCATCTTCCCACCATGCATAGCTTCATGCAACATAACCAATAAGGAGTCTGTTTAGTTGGAAAGCGTGACAGTGAACATGGCATCAGAGGAGATGCCGTTTATTAACGCACAGACCTTCACCTGCTTTGTTGGGAAAACCTGCATGGATCAGCAGGATTAATATCTATAACATCCAACCCTCCTCACATAGCCTGACATCCCTGCACCTTTAATCAGCGGTTACATTATCAGCCTAATTAAGGCAGGGTTGAAATGAAATGGGTTTAGGTTATTAGAGCGCACCACAAAAAAAACAAAAAACTCCAGTCTTTACGCACCTCCGCAAACAGCGGCAGCCACAGACAGGCGCTTCCCATCAAGCGCAACATCTCCCGGCTGCTGAGAGTCATCCTTCCCACCCGGTGTGTCCGTGTCATAGCCGTGGATCCTCTCCCATCTCTGGCTCCAAACCTGTCCGAACCGTTATTCAGCAGCTGCTGCCTGAAATTCAATTAAAACAGATCTATATCTATAGAGTGTGGATGTAGATGTAGGAGGTTGAGGGTGCGGCTCTACGAACAGGAGGGAAAACAGGCATCCAATAGTGTTGAGCTCTGCAAAAAGCTTCCCCCACCTCTCTCCCTCTCTCTCTCTCTCCTCCCGCACATGCAGAGGGGTGAGGTGGCGGAAAGAAAGTGATTGATTTCTGCGTGCAGCTCATGCGGGACTGAGGGCAGTTTCCTCTTTTGCTGTGAATGAAGAGGAATCAGAGCTCAACTTAGTCAGTCAGAAGCAGGGAACTTTGAGTAACATCATTTTATCCTAAAGTAAAAAAAAAATAAAAAAAAGACCAATGTTGTTCTCAGGGCCGGTTCTAGCCCTTTGGTTGCCCTAGGCGAGATTGAGTTTTGCGCCTATCTATCAGTTGTTTCGGGTATTTCTATTCACCTTCAAAATTGATGCAGCATTAAAATTTGACTCGTCTGGACTTCCTAATGGCAAATTCGTTGATGGTATCATCAAATGAGATTTTATTTGAGACCTCTTAGTTGATGCTCATCAGTGCAAGCCCATTTTGATGATTATTTGATGATTATAAATCAAACGCGCATCTACACAGCACAGCGTTCACAGACCAGTGAGATGCATAAACAAACAAACAAAAACAAAAATACAATACAGTTCAGTAAAATACAGTTCTGTTTTATGCCTCATTCTTGTAAGTTTAAAATGTTCCAATGCTCCCGAATGCACCATAGCTTTCTGACGCGCAGTGAACGCATCTCACTGGTCTGTGAACGCTGTGCTGTGTAGATGCGCGTTTGATTTTCCACTTAAGAGAAACCTTTGCAAACTCCAAACTCACGTCGGCTATCACGGTTTAGTGTTGTGTGTAAATAACAAGAGACCACAACAAATAAATCAGCCGTACCATGGTCAAAATCTTTGGATTTAATGTTGTTCAAAAAATCCGTAATGTTATAAATTAATCTGCCAAATAACCACAACTTTTTTCCCACGAGAGGTATTTTTAAACGTTTTTATATCATTAATATAAGAACCTAAGCTCCATTGAACATATTTTAATCCGTTTTCCTCGTCGATATGCAGTTCAACAGAGCGAGGCGCGCTCCCGCGACTGGGGTTGCATATTTCGGCAGGCATGCACTTTTGGGCATAACACCGGCCGACGTCCAATCTCCACTCATTGTCCGACTCGCTGTTGTTCGTCCGCTGCCTTCTCTTCATCTGAAACATCTGGGTCGAACATGTGAGGCTCCAGACACAAATATTCTTCCTCTGATACATCAGAATGGTCTCCTGGTAGGAATCGCTCGGTTGAAGTCGAAATTTTGCTTTCAGATTTCTCGTTTTGGCTATCGCATATAGTGCAGGAGGCCGCCATGAACGCTCCCGTTCTGACGTCACGACTTCCGGGTTGGAGGGCGCTTGAAAAGTGATCAGAATCTTTTCCGATTTTCTCTTAAATGTGAAAAAAAAAAAACGGTGGTATATTTATTTGTTCATATTTTGCTATTTATATATACGTAAGGTTAAGTCAAACTGACGGACGCTTCATAACCGGTTTAATTCGCTTTTTTTTCTAATTCTATGATTAATGGGAAGTAAGCCTAAGGGCGACGCTAGAGGGCGCCCCCAACACATTTGTCGCCCTAGGCAATTGCCTATCTCGCCTATAGCAATCGCCGGCCCTGGTTGTTCTTTCTTTTCTATTCATTAAAAAATCTCAGAAAGCAGCCTGCATTTCAGCCTCCATGAGTCCAGAGGCGTAGCCAGAAAATGTTTATGAGGGTGGCCAGAGAATAACCAATGTACACCGAGGGGTGGCTGAAAGCAGATAGGCACCAAAACCTCACGATAAATCTAACCCATCCATAACAAACATCAATATTTTCTAAATAAAGAAAAACGATGCTTTCCTGCTGCCTTTGCTAACAAATAGACTAATATATTCAAACATCCATCATTTCTAGATAAAAGGTATAGTGGATAAAATTCTTTCAGGTTTGAGTTTTGGGCAAACATCTTTTCCATTACTTACCTATGTTTATCAGTAATCATTCTAGATAAAATTGATATTTACAAGTACTAATATCTACATGAATCGATTAATAGGTTTTTATTAAAATAGTTATTTACCTTTGCTTTCACTGAAGACTCCTAAATGACTTGCAAAGACACATCATTTTCTCTTTACCCCATATAACACAAAATCAATTTCTGCTTAAATTCAGTACTTTATCATCTTTAATGTTAGTATATTGATGTGCATAATTAACCACAGTGTTTTTGTTATCAACGGTTTTGAATATTCCACTTGAGAGTATTACTGTTACCAACATCTGTATTAGAGGGAAATAAATGGAAGGGGTGGCCACAGGGGTGGCAAATGATTGGCTATTTCCACCCCTGGCCCCATAGATATCCATAATAAAGGCTAGATGTCTTACGGCGGAGTCTCAAACGGCATCACCGGCGGCCATCTTACCTCAGGCAGGCTTTCTGTTGTGCTCTGTGGTACCTAATGTAAGGTGAGTGATCAGCACGAACACAAATACTCTTATCTCACTGAATTCTTGACGGATTTACAAACAGTTTGGTTTCTTACAAACATTATGAACGTGGCTATAATTCTAGATGCTTGAACATGTCGAAACTGCAGATTTTCTTGTCGAAAAATGACTTAATCGTGCAGCATAGTTGTGCATCACGTCTACTTGCGCAAGTTATCAAGGCTGAGACTATTAGTCAATTATATAGGTTTTACTGACACCAATAACGATTGTATGACAATTAATCTTTGGTGTAAATTACAATATTTATGGATGTGGTTGTAGTTATTAGTTGGCTAATAACAATAATCTGAGTGTTGTTGTATTTTCATTATTAGCCTAACGTTAGCTGGCTAATAACAAGAAGCTGCAAAGTGAGACCTAACGTTAGTAAGTTAGCAGCTAACGTTACAGTTTAGCTAGCTGCTAACGTTAACCAGCAACTTTACATCAGTGGAAGAGGCAGAATTTAACATGATTTCCAATCGATTTGGTCTGTCAACACATCTTACATTATGTTACAGGAATTTGCTGGGTTTATTAAAAGGAAGATGCCAGACTTTTGTGATGAGATAATAGTATTACAAGATTGTTGTTGACTCAAAGCTTTTATAAGTTTGTATTAGTTTCATTTGGACAACTTAAAGATGGTGTTGTGCCAAACATTTTCAACTTTCCAGCTCATCTTCAAAGGGCATGTGTATCATTGAAATTTAATCACATATTGATATACCAATCTTATACACCGTGAATTGTTGTTGGTCACTTTTGTTTTTGTTTCTGCAGGTTATATAATGTGTAAGCAGGAGGAGAAGATCTTCCATCCCCGTTTGCTGACATTCCTGCAATAGTACATGACCACAGCTACCTTTCTGTCCACTTTGATGGCCTTGTGGACAACGGTCTCTTGTACATTACACAGAAGCTCAATAAAACCTTCCTTTTCAAAGGGCATTAGCCAAGCTATGTTTTTTTGGTCATTTTTTAAATCTCTGTCTTCCATGTGTATACCATCACAGTAGTGTAGGTGGGGATTTCAACATGCTACATCTATATATACTTGTGAAGGGGACTATTGTACCAATTTTAATAGCAAATAAATGTCACTATTATAATGGTTTAAAAATAGGAACTTTTGTGTAATTACCCCTGATATATAATCCGAATAGTCTACATGAAACTTCAAAGTGTTACCTTTAATTTGAAACCTGGATTATGCTGCTACACCAAGAGGTTGCCACACAATAAGCCTTTTCTGTCAGTATTCCATATTTTATTATAACAATAATATTCATATTATAAAAGTATGTAAATATAAATAAATTAGGACTGTGAAATAATTAATCACACCCAAATAAAAGTGTTTATTTTTATATATATATATATATATATATATATATATATATATATATATATATATAGATATAGATATATATAGATATATATAGATATATATATATACATACATATTTATATATATATATAAATATGTATATATACATATTTATATATATATATATATATATATATATATATATATATATATACATACATATTTATATATATATATACATACATATTTATATATATAGGTATCTATATCTATATAGATATCTATAGATATATCTATATATCATGTTGCCATTCAGTACACTGAGTTTTAATAGCATATATTGATTTAACATAAATACCTTGTGCATGTGTATATTTATTGCACCTGTATGTTCTATTCAATGGTCTTTTCATATGAAATACCATGCTTATAATTATTCATAAGTGTGCAGTATCATAACTACATGTCTGACTTTTGTTTAACAAACCAAACAATTAGACAATTCAGGAAGTTATGGTTATTTCAGTACATGCGCCTTTAAAACACAATGTTACGAATGAACGAGCTGCCTGTGGCAAGATGGCCGCCACGTGCGGACGTCGACCCCCATTGGCCAGCAGCACGGACGAGACATCTAGCCTTTATTATGGATATCTATGCCTGGCCCCCCATCTACCATCTAGCTCCGCCCCTGCATGACTCCCCCCCCCTTTTTTTTTCCAATTCTGAGTTAAGGTTTAATATTGGTTTTTCACTCATGAAATCCCAAAGTTACTCTGGGTCCAGGCAACATCATTTCCAAGTCTTAGATAATACGTTTTACAACAAGAATAACTTCTACAAGTATAATTTCTAAAAGATTTTTATGCAAAAAAGATTTGTTACATTTTTCTGTGGCATAGTTATCACATTGGACATTAAAAAACAAATAATGTGCCATATTTGTCACAATAAAATAAATGCTAATACTCCACTTAATCAGTTTAGCTGACTCAATTATATATAATCAATATGATTCCTATCTTCCATGTTTTAGAATATTTAAACTAATTTGAGAATTCAACAATCAAAATTTGAAACTTTTTTATCTTTTTTTTTATTATTTTGTAAAATGGACAAAAATAAAAATTACAAAAGGGTCCCACATTCTAATGAGATCTAGACCCACTGGAGTACTAATATGTATGTATGTATGGATGGATGGATGGATGGATGGATAGATGGATGGATCGATGGATG